AAGGCTGTTTCCCAGAAGCCTGTGTGTTCAACTGGGGAAGTGACAAGGGCAAAAGGTGGGGGAGGGGAAAGGAAAACCACTTCAGGGTCCTCCACTAAATAAGTATATGCCTTTCCAGAAGGTCTTCACCTCTCCCTGGCCTCAGCTTTCTAATCAAAAACCAAAACAAATAGCAAAAAAAAAAAAAGTTGATCCTTGTCAATTCTAAAATCCTTACACTCTTCAACTCCCAACAGAGGCAAGGCTAGGGCTCTTCTGCTAGCCCATTTCACACAGGCTGGGCCAAGTAAAGACCAGATTGTCACCACCATTTTCAAGCTCCTACTTTTTTTTAGTGCCAGGAATTGAGCCCAGGGGTGCTTAACCACTGGGCCGCATCCCCAGCCCTTTTGATTTTAATGTGTTTATTATTTTATTTTGAGATAGGGTCTGGGTAAGTTGCTTAGGAGATCACTAAATTGGTGAGGCTGGCCTAGAATTTGCAATCCTCCTTCGAGCCACCTGTACCAGCCTTTGGAGGTGCTGGGGTCACAGCCATGCACCAGGCATGGCTCAAACTCCTTAATCTCCCCAAATGCATTGCCTTTTGAGGCTGAGTGACATTTAACTTTTACCTTATTCAGACTTTAAATAAAGCTCTGAAGGAAAGAACTTTTGACAGATGGCTTATTCTGAAAGATAATAATCACAATGACTTAATTTCTTAAAGCCTCTTCACCCAGTAAACCGGAACACTTTTTGGGATGGCATTAGACGAGGCCAGCCTACTTCTGGTGGGTTGTTTTGTGTTTGTTTTCTTCCAGCTGTCTGGTCTTGACTGTCTATTCAAAGTGAATGGAAGATGCCCTCTGCTGTGGGTAGGGGGATGGGCAGAAATGGATCACAGCAACCTTTGCCAAAATTTCCATTTTTGCCCTAAATCACAAACAGTCCTGGGTTTCATTAATCATTAAAAATACATGTATAAAAGGAATTGTTGCTGTTGTTGTTGGGAGGGGGGGGTCTTTTGTTTTTTAAATCTAGCTTTCCACAGATATGAAGGCAGACCCAGCTCTTTCTTTTTTCTTTTCTTGTCTTTTTTTTTTTTTTTTTTGGTGCTAGAGATTGACTCCAGGGATGCTTCACCACTGAGCTACATTCCCAGGCTTTTTTGTAATTTTTTTATTGAGATAGAATCTTACTAAATTTCCCAGGTTGGCCTTGAACTTGCATTAATCCTGCCTCAGCCTCCCAAGTCACTAGATCACAGGTGTGTGCTACTGCCCCCAGCCCCAGCTCATATTTCAGATTTTCAGCAATCACATTTACACTGATCATATACCACATAAGTATGTATTCATACACAGTTTAAAAACTGTCTAAGCCAGGCATGGTGGTGCATGCCTGTAATCCCAGCAGCTTGGGAGGCTGAGGCAGGAAGATCAAGAGGTCAAAGCCAGACTCAGAAATTTAGGGAGGTGCTAAGCAACTCAGTGAGACCTTGTCTCTAAATAAAATACAAAAACAGGGCTGAGGATGTGGCTCAGTGGTTGAGTGTCCCTGAGTTCAATCCCCTGTATCCAAAAAAAAAAAAAAAAATTGAGACCAGAAAGTTTAAATTATTAAATTATTGTTAATTACTGAATCTATATTTAAGTCCTTTTTTGGGGGGGGGGGCGGGGGGGTGATGCTGGGGATTGAACCCAGGGCCTTGTACATGCGAGGGAAGCACTCTACCAACTGAGCTATAGCCCCAGCCCTTTATTTATTATTAAGTCCATTTTGATAAATCACCATAAAATAGGCAAAACTGCATTTACCTAAGTGAACTTAATACATGATGCTAACTATTTTGGATCTGTATGCAGTAAAGAAACTAATGTCATCCTTTGGAACAATATCACTTTCAGAAAAATGTCATATTATCATATCATATACTTGACTTCCACCAGTCACTTGGAAATCAAAGCACTGGGCACATGTCTACACTACAACTCAGTGACCCAGAGAAGATAGGCTGTCAAACAAATGACCATTAGGTCTCTTTCAGGGTCTCAGTATTATGCCAACCCCAGAAACCCAAAAGAAAAAAAACGACTCTTACATAAATATGCCAACAACTGGCTGGGCACAGTGGCACACGCCTGTAATCCTTGCAGCTCGGGAGGCTGAGGCAGGAGGATTGTGAGTTCAAAGCCAGCCTCGGCAAAAACGAGGCACTAAGCAACTCAGTGAAACCCTGTCTCCAAATAAAATACAAAACAGAGGTGGGAATGTGACTCAGTGGCCCAGTGCTCCTGAGTTCAATCAAACCATACCCCCCCCCCGAAAAAAAAAAAAAATGATGCCCACAGCTTGGGGACAAGGAGAGACTAAGAACTGGTCGTCTCTGGGCGTATGTTCCTAAGGACTTCTCACACCCAGTACCAGATACTAGTGGCCAAAGAGGAGCTGGACTAAGCTTTCAAAATAGCACACAAGGTGTTAATATTTCAAACTTTTCAACACAGTTTTTGAAATAAAGTCTACTCCACCAAAGAAATAGGGGCTTTAACTCTGAGGCAAGTTCTTAGGCATCTCTCTCACTGAGCCAATGCCAGCCAGGGCAGGCAGTCCTACACCAAGCAAACCATCGGGCTCAGCTCCCAGCCAGGCCTGAACAGCCTAACCCTGCAGCCTCCTAGGCATACTTCCAGTTCCAGCAGGGTTTCTGCTTGGCAAAGTAATAATTTTAGGGTACCCCAGGTGAAACGATCTCCTCCAGTGTTTGAGAATGCATTTTCCTCTACAATCCAATTTGAAAATTCAAATCTACTGTAAAAGTCTTTACATCAAAAAGTTCAAACAGCTGGGTGCAAGTGGCACATGCCTATAATCCCAGCAACTGGGGAGGCTGAGGCAGGAGGATCCAAGTTCCAGGCCAGCCTCAGCATTAAGTGAGGCCCTAAGCAACCTAGTAAGACCCTGTTTCAAAATAAAACATAAAAAGAGCTGGGGATGTAGTTCAAATCCCAGTTTAAAAAAAAAAAAAAGCTAGAATAATTAAGGAAAGCAGGGTAACGAGGGAGACTCCCGACTGGACAGTATTTTAGGTCACCAAGTGTGACATAATAAAACTCCTGACCCAATTTCCACACGATCATGTTCCAGCCCACAGCTACTGACATCACTGTGCTCTGTGGTCATTACGTCACCCAGTTGGGAGCAGTGCGGCCTACCAGGCCCTGTTCACTTTTCCAGCTTGCTTCTACCAAGAGACTAGAGGCTGCCGATCCTCTTCCAGGACTGCTTCTCCCAACTTTTCCCTCTATATCTTGGTGTCACATCCCTATGGACCTGGCTGTGGGCTGGCTATCTGATCTAGAGCCCTCAGTGAAGACACAGGGGCTAAGGGCCTATGTTACCTACAGGTTTTATGGGAATCCCCCCCCCAAACTTCTTTTCTGCAAAGTGTGAGAGTTTCTAAGTCCTGAATCTGTTGGGTCTTCCAGGTCCATGAACGAACTTCACAGACTTCGCTGTTTCTGATCCCTTATAAGCCCATCTCCCAGATACTCGCCCCCTACTCCTTCCAGCTTTCCAAGTCTTGGAGGGAAAGCACTTACAGTCCCTCCTCGATCCCCCGCCCCACGCCGCCGCCACACACAAGCACACGCACAGGCACACACTCGCGCGCTCGCCAGGCACCGCGACAATGGCCCCGTTGGCTCCAGGCTGACTTACTTGAGGAAGTACGGCTGCCCAGTGGCGGTGAAGGCCATCTCCCAGCCTGGGGGCAGCGGCAGCTCGTCTGTCACGTCGTAGGACTGCTGGCGGAGGTGCGCGTGCTGCTGCGCGGAGCTGGCCGTAGCGCCCGCACCGGTGCCCAGCTGCAGGGATGCGGGAGAGGAATGCGAGCGGACGTGCTGCGCGCCGCTGGCCAGCCGCGGCCCGGGGTGGCCGCCCGACGAGTCGGTACTGGACTGCCGCGAGTGCGAGCCCGAGTCGGGCTCCTTGAAGAAGGACTCCGGCAGGATCTTCTTCCGCCACGAGCTGGGCTTGGGGTTCATGACAGAGTTGAAGAGGGCCTCGAGGTCTGTGTCGAGGTCCTGCGTGACGTGGATCACTTGCTGCCCGGGCGGCGGGAGAGGTGGGGGCGCCGAGGACGGATTCATCTTCTGCAAGAGGAAGGCAGATCAGATTAGCCTTTAGTTCAAGTTGGAGGGAGGAGTTGGGATGGGGAGGGAATAGGGATAAGAGAAATAGAGGACACAGTTAGGTGTCCATACAGGGATCCCGGACACCAGCGGCAAGCCCAGCCGGATGGGGGAGGGGTCCCTCCTGACCTCCAGAATTATGCAACTTTCCTGAAGCCAAGAAGTTGCCGGGAGGAGGAGGAGTGGGGAGGTGGGGAGCAGCTGCACTGAGACGCTGCTGAATTGCGGTGGCAGAGGACCGGTCGTAGCTTTCCAGGGAAGGCGGCCCCCCGAACAAGTCAATCGGGCCAAGTCCGCGGAGTCGCCTCTCCGGAAACCGGAGGACACGGCGCCCTGGAGTAGTGCGGGCGAGCGGGCGCGCCAGCGGGCACTACCTGGGCGCGCAGCGAAGCCGAGCCCGAACGCGCGGCGGCCGCCGTCCCGCCGGAGCTGGCCGTCGGCCCGAGTCGCCGGGGTACGTCCGGAGCTGGCGGAGGTGGAGCCCCGCCCCCGCTGGCAAATCTCGACTGGACTTGGTGCCCGGCCGCCGAGGGACTTGCGCGCTCACATCCCCCGAGCCGGCCTCAGGCGCTCGCGCGTGGCGACAAGGAGGCGCAGAAGCAGCAGACGGCGCAGTCACAGCACCTCCCGAACTGTCCCATAAACAAAGTTTGAAGCAAACTCCCACCCCCAGGAAAGAGGCGGGCCCGAAAGTTGAGCTGTTGAATTATGCATGATCTCCAAGTCCAGAGCCGCCAGCCCCGTTGGCCCCTCCTCTTCCTCCTCCTCCTCCCACCCGGGCTCCAGAAAACCCTGGGCGTGATGGGTACTTTACAGGGTAAGAGGAGCCGGGTCCCCCCCCCCACACCCACTCCTCCCGGCGGCGCGGACCTCTCCCGCGGAGCCCTGGGTCTGCATTCCTTTGCGTTTACCACGGACTTGGGGCGGGATCAAAGGGAAAGTGGCCCGAGCCTGTTTAATCAAGGGCTTGTGGACCGAAACCAAGCCTGAGGTGGCGGAGGGCACGCGGGTGAGGGGCCGAGGACGAGAAAGGGTCGGTCCTGGGCGCTGCGCCTTCCCTCCAGCAGGGCGCGGAGCCTCAGGCACCGGGAGGGCTGCACTGACCCGCAGTTCTGCCAGAGGTCAGGCCAGACTGCGCCCGGCGCGGGGAGACACCGAGAAGGCCAGCCTTTCTTCGGGAGGCTGCTTAGCGCTTGTGACCATATTTGGTCTGGTGAAAAGGCATCTTGGCTGCTTGGCCTTCAATTGTCTGCTAGAGCGCAGACGGTGCCCAGAAAGTGCCTGTTGCCGGAGACGCAGCTTCGCCCACGGGTGGGTTGTAAACAACCTTCAAATCATTCACCAATCCTTCATTTCCTCCACGGGGTGAAGGGCCAGAAGGGGTAAAGAAGAAACCGGATCAAAGCTGGGTGCTGGAAGGGGAGACCAGTTGCGCCCCCCTCCCCCGCGACATCCGCGCGGGTAGTGGGAGGATTGGAATGTCCCTGACGCCCTCCAGGGAGCCTGCAGCCAGGATGGAACACAGGCAGGTGGCTGGGAGTAGAGAGGGTGCTCCAGTGACCCGGAAAAAGCCACCCACCCTCCCACTGCCTGGATAAGGGCAAGGGGGAGACCCCCGCCTCGGGGAGGAGGTCTGGCCTGGAGAGACAGCTGCGGGGAAGTGGGAGGCGGCCTCGCCCTCCGCAGCAGCTCAATTCCTTCCCTCCCTCGACCCTTTTCCCTTGCCCGAAAAGAAGATATGGCTGCAAGGTAAGTTAGGCTCCAGGAGGCCCCCACCCTTCCCACTGACCCAAATAGAGGTTTATTAAAGAAGCCAAGGGGGCGATATATGTTCCGCCCTTTGCTCAGCACTGGGCCACCTACACACCGCTTGTTAAATAGAATAAAATTTTATTAAGTTCAGGCATTGTGCCTCATCGCTTTTATAAGGGTGAAACAAAGTCAAAATTAAAATCTCAGAGTTGAAGAAGAAAAGTTTAAGGAAAGACAAGGCCATTTTCTTCTCTTTTTTTTCTCTTTTCTCCCCCCACCCTTTGGTACAGGGATTGAACCTGGGGACACAACACTGAGCCACATCCCCAGCCCTTTCTATTTTTTATTTTGAGACAGGATGTTGCTGCTAAGTTTCTCAGGGTCTCCCCAAGTTGCTGAGGCTCTTCTAGAACTTGCCATTCTCCTGCCTCAGCCTCTGAAGTCACTGGAATTACAGGTGTGTGCCATTGTGCTAGGCTGAATGGCTGCATCCTATCCCAAATTGAGATCCAAAGTATCTGTACATGGAAGTGCTCTTGTTCCATTCCTCACAGACTGGGGAAAAGCAGGGCTGCTTTAGAGGAAGACATGGGCATGGATGAACTTCAAGATAAGTGGAACTTGGGTTGATCCAGAAGCCCCTGAAACTTCATGTTTCCCATGCCCACAGGACTGGCAGAGGGGAAGGGAGAACCACTATAGTTCACTTGTGAGTAGAGTCTTTTTGAACTATCTTCAGAGGACACAGCAGTCGCAACATGAGGAAATGAGCTATGGAACTAGAGGCCAGCCATGACTAGGACCATATGGTCACTAATTCAGAAGCTGTGGGACTGATTTGATGGTGAAAGGATGGAAACTTGAGACCATGCCTGCTCTAGGAAGGCCTTCACTGCAGAAGGAAGGTGAGAATCAGGGTACGAACTGAATGAACAGTAAGATCAAGGCTGGGATTGGATGGGCAAGGATGTACTCTTTATTCCTTACCAAGCTTCAAGAAATAGTGCCCAACACGGTGACTCTAGCTTGTGATCCCAGACACTCAAGAGGCTGAGGGAGGAGGATCCCAAGTTCCAGGCCAGCCTGGGCAAATTAACAAATTAGTAATTTCAGATTAAATAAAGGTACAGGTGTCCTGTGTGTAGCAGGTGCTGCCCATGCAGGGCAGCATGGGGCAGTAGTGAAGTATAATTTCTGAAGCAAAATGCTTGATTGAGTCACCTCGGTTAGAGGGTTAAGTTCTCTATTCCTGGGTTTCCCCCTTTGTAAATTAGGGACATCAACAGTACCACTCACTAAATAAATTTTATCTGTTGACCTGTGACTTGGAATACAAGCTTTGGAGAGACTAACTCTGCTCTCTACATTGGGCAAGTGACCTAGCCTCCCTAAGTCCCAGCTGATTCACTTACAACTTGGTGAGAAGGAGGTAATAGTCTGTCCTGCTGCCATGGACCCTGCTTGCTCTGTGCAGCTTACATAGTCCCTCCACTTAAATCTGGACTGAGCCAGGAGAATGCTGCCATGACCAGTGACATAAGCTAGTGCCGCCCACCCACCCCCTTAAGAAGGCATAGAAGCTTCTGCTTTTGCACTTTGGGAAGACCTGAGTCACTAGATTCAAAAGTCCAACTACCCTGCTGGGGGAACCACATCGATAAAGAGATGTCCTAAGATTAGTGGAGGAGGGGAAAGTCCAGCTACTCAGTATCGGAGCTGATTTGAGCTCTACCCCTACAGGCTGACTGCAGACACCTCTGCAACCTCCCTACCAAACAGCAGCAGAACACAGTGAGCCCAGCCCAGAGGGCAGAATCATGAGCAAATAAAATAGGTACTGTTTTATGCCACTAAATTTGGGGGGTTTAAAATACAAAATGTGCATTCTGCTGATTAAGATTTTTTTAAATTTTCTTGGTGCTGGGGATTGAACACAGGGCCTAACACAATGCTTTACCACCAACTACGACCTCGTGGAAAATGTAGACCCAAAGAATGGGTAACAAATTCTATATCCCTACTTTACAGATGAGGAAACTGTCTCAGAGAGTTTTAAAGTATTTTGTCCAAGTAAATACAATGAAATCATGAAAAAACCCTGGGAATTAGCCCAGGGTTCTTAAACCCAGAGCAGAGCACTTTTCTATTCTCCTATCCTGTGTAGAGCCGGGGCCTGGTCCCTGGTGTGGCCATTTTAAATCCTCTTTCAGGGAGAAACTCCACAGTTTTTATAGGATAATCAATTGAGAGGACACACCTGCCGATATGCAAATCTTTCTCTGCATTTGCAAACACTTTCCACCCTAATCCAGCCTCAAAGCTTCCCTAGGCCCACTTTCTTCAGGAGGCCCCTCCCTCCTTACACAGTGGGCAGCCCAACTGCTGTTCCTTTGGTGCCCCTCAGATCCCTTCCTCCTTTCACACCCCCACATCAGGACCTTATCTCAAATTCTCCCAGGAGCCTCCCAACTGGTTTCTCTGCTCCAGTCTCTGTCTCTGTCTCCTATTTTCATGACGTCATTCTTTGGCTCAGGAATCTTTTTGACAATTGCCTGAAAGAAAAAAGTTCAAAGCTGTCAATCTCCCAACAAATTGCCATCTGGGTATCTTTCTGACTTGCTTCTTACATGGCCCAATGAGAAAGTTTCCTCCATCCACTCCAGCCAGGCTGTGACAAGCACATTGGGCCAGTTCCTTGAATACACACACCTCAGACGGAATTCAAAACTCCGTCTGCTTTGACAAGCCTTCCCCAATCTCTCCCTTCTTTCTCCTAAGTTCTTGTTCTTGCCTTTTTCACTGAGCCACATTCCCAGCCCTTTTTATTTTTTTATTATGAGACAGGGTCCTGCTAGGTTGCTTAGGGCCTCAGTAAGTTGTTGAGGCTGCTCTTGAACTTGTCATCCTCTGCATCAGCCTTTTTGGCTGGGATTACAGACGTGCACCACTGCACCTAGCCATGATTCCTTGAGCGCATAGTGGTTCTTTCTGATTGTGCCCATTCTTCTCTCAATACCTGTGAGTGTGCCCTTAACAATTAATGAGTACCCCCTATCACTGGCTACAATTGTGTCACTGCCCATCTGCTTGGCTCTTTAACAGGATTAGGAGCTCTTGGAGAAAAGTGAAGAGGACTTGGTTTTCCTGTGAGTACTCTCCAGGCAGATGTGGTCAGTACAAATGGTGGCCTAACACAATGTCCGTTTTTTTGTTTTTGGTTTTTTTTTGTACCAGAAATTGAACCCAGGAGCACTTAACCACTGAGCCTCATCCCCAGTCCTTTTATACATTTTATTTGGAGACAGGGTCTCACTGAGTTGCTTAGCACCTCGATAAGTTGCTAAGGCTGGCTTTGAACTTGTGATCCTCCTGCCTTATCCTCCCTAGCTGCAGGGATTACAGGTGTGGCCCCCATGCCTGGCCCCAGTGGCTCTTGTTCCAACTCTTTTGGGGGGTACTAGGGATTAAACTCAGGGGTACTCGACCACTGAGCCACATCCTCAGCCCTATTTTGTAATTTATTTAGAGACAGAGTCTCACTGGGTTGCTTAGGGCCTTGCCATTGCTGAGGCTGGCTTTGAATTCAAGATTTTCTGTCTCAGCCTCCCGAGCTGCTGGGATTACAGGTGTCACCACCGCGCTGGCCTTGTCCCAACTTTTCATCTACCATTTTACCTCAGCAAAGCCTCAGGTTGCTTTTCTTAGCCTCACACATCATTCCTGCCCTTGGGGCTACTGCCTAGATCCCAGTGACCGATTCCAGCCAAGGTGAATGGTTAGAAATGTGATGTAATGGCTCAGTTATTAGAGGACTGTGGCCCAGAAACCCTTGGGCAGAACCTGCCTGGACTTGCTGAACCAGTATGGAGAAAATTCCCAAAGTCAGGGTTGGGTCATCATTAGCAACTAAGGAAGAGCAAAACAGATGAGGACCTTGAGTAGATAAAGGTTTGAATAATCAAAAGTCCAACAGTTGGCTTGTTTTTATTGAAATACAAGGATTGACAAGTTCACTGGGATATCAGAAGTGATACTTGCATACTTCTAATTGGCCAGATCCCAGCCATCTAGCACAGCCTCACTTAAACCAAAAGAAACGGGTGCATCCACCCTGTTTTGCAGTTACTCTCCAGGTGTAGTTCTCATTGCCTTGCTTCTCTTTGGTATTCTCCCCTCCATCCCATACTGCAGAGAGAACCCAGGTACTCTACCACTGAGCTGCACCCCAGCCCTTTTTATGTTTTATTTTGAGGCAGGGTCTTACTACTTGCTGAGGCTGGCTTGGAACTTGAGATCCTTCTGCCTCAGTCTCCTGAATAGCTAGGATTCTAGGTAAGCACCCTGCACCCAACATTTGTTTGGTGTTTTGTTTTGTTTTGTTTTTTTGCAGGGAGCCGGTACCAGGGATTGAACTCAGGGGCACTCCACCACTAAACCACATCCCCGGCCGTATTTTGTATTTTATTTTGAGACAAGGTCTCACTGAGTTGCTTAGCACCTCGCAGTTGCTGAGGCAGGCTTTGAACTCACAATCCTCCTGCCTCAGCCTCCCAAGCCGCTGGGATTACAGAAATGTGACCAGCACCAGGCAGCATTTGGTGTTCTTAATTGCATCATGTACATGATAAGAAGGAAGATGATAATAGACGGACCGACCAATGTTATCTATTGCTTCAGTAGATAACACTGGGTCAAAGAAGAGAGGAATTCCTAAAATTCAGTCTTTGCCCAACTTTGGTACATTGTGTAAGTTATTTTATCCCTTATTATTTTCTTTTTTCTTTTTTGGTGCTGGGGATTGAACCCCCAGGGCACTTTACCACTGAGCTACATCCCTACATGCCCAGTCTTTTCTGTATTTTATTTTGAGACAGGGTCTTGCTAAGTTGTATAGGTCTCACAAGTTGCTGAGGCTGGCTTGAACTTGTGATCCTCCTGGCCTCAACCGCCCAAATCATTGGGATCACAGGTCTGTGTCAGGTCTCTCCATCATGGCTGGCCACTATTCATCTTTTTGCAGGGGAGGGTTCTGGGGAAAATATTTTTCAATGGGGAAAACACACTTTTGAAAATGCTTAACTTATTAAATGCTTATAATACTGTAGACACAAACTATCAAGCAATATTGCAGAGTTGCCAACTGTAGCATAATCTGTAATAGGGGAAAATTAGAAATTTTCTGCAAGAATAGCAGCTGGGCACAGTGGTTTATGCCTATAGTCCTAGCTACCCAGGAGGCTGAGACAGGAGAATCACTTGAACCCAGGTCTTTAATACCAGGCTAGGCAACATAGGGAAACCCTATCTCAAAATTTAAAAAAAAAAAAAAAAACCCTGTGGGCAGGGGGAGCCCAAGAGAATGACTGACTACATCTAACAATGAAGTTGATTTTTTTTTTTTTTTTTTGGTATTAGGGATTTGGGAATTTAACCCAGGAGCACTTTACCACTGAGCTACATCCCCATATTTGTTTGTTTGTTTGTTTGTTTTGTTACTGGGGATTGAACCCAGGGGTGCTTAACCACTGAGCCACATCCCCAGCCCTTTTCATTTTTTATTTTGAGACAGGATCTCGCTAAGTTGTTTAAGGTCTCACTAAATTGCTGAGGTTGACTTTGATCTTGAGATCCTCCTGCCTCAGCCTCCTGAGCCACTGGGATTAGATTGAACCCAGGTGTGCCCAGTATGTGTGTGTGTGGGGGGGGGGGGTCTTGCTAAATTCCTAAAGCTGACCTCGAATTTGTGATCCTTCTGCTTCAGCCACCCAAGCTGCTAGGACTACAGACATGTGCCACACACCTGGTTCCAGTGAAGTTTGTATAGGTATCAGAAACTATGAAGGTGATACAGCCACATGAAAAAGAGAATTTAAGTTATTTGATTATTTGATATGATCACAGCAACCCTGGAGTAGTCGGAGAATCAAAAGTCGGAGGCCAGCTAAGACAACTTAGTGAGATCCTGTCTCAAAATAAAATTAAAAGGGCTGGGAGTGTAGCTCAATCCCTAGTACCACAAAAAAAGCGGGAGAGAGGAACATACCCCCACACATACACACACTTGTCAGTAAGTTTCTCTCCATACACTTCAATCTGAATAAATGTATCACAAAATAAAACATACATTTTTTTTTCCCCCAGGCTGGCCTCAAACTCCTGGGATCAAGGCAGCCTCCTTCTCCAGCCTCCCAAGTAGCTGGGCAAATTCATGTTTTTTTGTTTTGCAGTACTAGAGATTGAACCCAGGTGTGCTCAACCACTGAGCTACATCCCCAACCTTTTTTATTGGTTTGTTTCTTTTGTAGTTTTGAGACAAGTTCTTGCTAAGCTGCTGAAGCTGGCCTCAAACTTCCAATCCTCCTGCCTCAGTCTCCCAGTAGCCTGGCTAACTGCGTGTTTTCTGAATGCACACTGTGTGCCAGAAGCAGCCTATCAGGCCCACTTGGAAGAGTTTACCACCTGATGAGGCACTCATTGGTTGACTCCTCCCTCTGCCAGGGGAGTCCCAGGTCTGGTTCCACCAGCTATTCAAGCCACTCCTCTTCCCTGTCTTGTTTCCCTGTTGTCGGGAGGAGCCAGGTGTGTGCAAGCTCTACCATGACCTCTCTGTCTGCATATTGTCCTGGCTCCAGTTAGGCCACTTGTCATACCTGGTCAAGAAAGGTCAATGTGTGGTTTGTAGCCAAAGAAAAAGGAAGAGGACCTGCCAAACCAAAATGGGGTACAAAAAGGGGGTCCAGGAAGGGCATCTGTCCCCACAGGAGAGCCAACACCGGTGGGCACAAGCCCAACTCACACATGTTTAAAAATGACAAAATGCTCTTTTAAAAATTCCTATTTCCAGACGATCTTAAATAAGAGGGTGGATTCGTTCTCACAAGGTGTTTGAACATAATAAATCCTACTTTGATCACATGACTGAAGATGTCACCACTTGGTAATGGTAATTAAAAGTTGTTAGTATTTCAACCACTACAATCATAGTAAGTAACGTGTGTAATGTTTTAAATCAGGCTACAAGACAATTTCACAGGTACAATCACACATAGACCTCACAGAAACCCTTGAGAATGGGCTCTTTTCCTGAAGTTAGGGGGGCTATTTTCAAAGACATTTTCTTCCACGGACCCACAGGACTTTGTCACGGTGCTTTGTCACCTAATGGTCATTCAGGGCACAAAGACTCCAAAAATGACCAAGCTGTCTCCTCCCTCTCATTAAATAAACAAAAACTCACATGTGTCAGAGGTACTTAAAATGCTGTCATACCCAAATTATTGGAGTACTTGCATAAACTGAAGAACCCTTTGGTGATATAAATCATCACTAATTAACATAGAACAGGCAATCCCCCACCCCCTTTTAAGGATTGTGTCCCGAAAGTTTTTTGGTTATTTCCAACACAGAATGTCTTTCTTTAAAGAAAAACACATATTAATTTCTATGATGGCTAGGCACCCTGGCCACCTCTTGTGCTCCAGATCCTGAGGCCCCACACCTCCCAACATCCTGCTGGAAGCCTCTGGACCTAGAGAACATCCACAGTGCTCTTGATGGCCTACCGCTTCAGGGCTACCCGCCACAAAGCCAGCAGCTCCACGTCATAATTCTATCAAATCATCGTCTCCCCACTTTGGAAAAAGTGTTGTAGTTTGGAGCCTGAAGTTCCCGCAGAGGCTCATATTATTGAGGAGTCGGTCCCCAGTGCAGCAAGGTCCAGACCTGGGGCTTTGGTGAGATGATTGGATCATGAGGGCTCTGGCGTTAGTTAATCTGCTGATGGAGTCGTAATCTGGTGACACTATTGGGAGCTGGTGGGGCCTAGTTTTGCAAGCCAGTCACTGAAGGTGTGTCCTGGAGAAGTTGATCTTGTCCTTGACTGCTTCCTCCTTCCTCTCTGCTTCTGGCTTGCCATGGGGTGAGCAGCTCTGTCCATTTATGCTCTCCCTGCCCTGATGCTGTCCCTCACCACAGGCCCATAGCAATGGAGCAGCCAATCATGGACTGAAACCTCTGAAACTGTGAGCCAAAATAAATCTTTCCTCCTCTAAGTTGTTTTTCTCAGGTATTTGGTCACAGTGACAAAAAGCTGACTAATGCACAAAGAGTTAAGACAAGAGAAATCTTATAGGTCATTCTGCATATTTCCTTCCACCTCCCATTATTTCCTGTTTTACAGGAAGGAAAAGATTCTGAAAAGAATTAAAACATAAAAAAAAAAAAATGGCAGAGAAAAACTCAGAAGATCCCTGATATACCCACCAACTTACTTAATTTTTTTTTTTTCCATCATCCTGTCTGGCCTCAAACTCCTAGGCTCTTAGGGGTCATCCTGTGACAGCCTCCTGAGAGCTGGGACCAGTCTTGTACTACTATATCCAGAAGGAAACTTCTATAACTGCTGTCGATGAGAGTGTCATTCAAGGCTCTGCCCTGGCTCAGGTTGCACTTGGAGTTCAGCATTAGAGGTGACAGTGATTCAATGTCTGCTGAGCTGACATGGAACCCAAAAAGTTAGCTGCTTAATGGCTTTCAAGGATAAAGGCCCCTAGATTTTTAATCATCTGTTTCTTTTGTAAATATAAAAGACTACCTCTTTTCAGTTAGACAGAGTGACTTGTACCTTTCAACAGGGAAGATGAAGTTCTTTGTCTAATATTGCAAACACATTCTCAGGTGAGAAATCTGTCACTTCCACCGGCCCTGGGATGGGTACATCGAGGTGCCCAAGTGCTGACATTCACAGCTTCACATCTCGGCCCAGGTCAAATTAGAAGTGATAGAGCTCATTCTCAGAACAAAATAAGTAGCCGCCAATAGAGGAAGGCGCTTCCAATAAATTCTCTGTTGATTCTGGGGCAATAGCTTCGTTGGCTCCTCCGTAAGAGCTTCCTCGGACACTCCACTCTGAGAAAGTGTCACTTGGGTTTCAGGACTTTTTGTGTCAGTGTTTGAACACCCCCAATGAGACTGCCAAGAAGACTCAGTCGCTTGGCTGGAAAAATCAGCATGATCTGGTGGCAAACGGCATCTTTGCTGATGAATCCTGCCTTTGACTCTGGGCAGGTTGGCCATCTGGTGACCGTGCAGCCTCCAGAGCACTGGGTGGTATGGAGAGGCCTGGCCCTTCACCTGCATCACCAACAGCCTTGGGGCAGAGACAAGGGTTCTGCTCAGTCTCTTCCATCTCACCCTGCCAGGAGTTTGGTTTTCATGGTAAAGGTAATAAGAAGAACCCCATATATAGGTGTTTTCCTTGCATGGGAACCTTCTTGGTGGCCGCAAAATCCTATCAAGGAACATTCCAGCCAAGGTTATTCCTGCACCAGTCGCATTGATTTGCAGCCTGGGAGCAGTTGGCATCAGTCTGAGAACAAGAGTTCTCTGCTTTTCTGCTCTCACACAAGCATCTGAACTCAAGGCCTCACTTAAACCAGAAATCTTCATTATTCTGAAAATGCCCCTTCATTTGAACGTATGGTTCTGTGACTTAAAGAGACAGAGTCCCAGTTACTAGCATCCATTAAGAAGTGAAAGAAAGGAAACAAAATTAACCCAGAAAAACTCTGAAGGTGGTCTTGCCTTCTGAAAACCGAGAGGTAGATCTCTGCTTCTCTGCTACAAGTTCTAGACAAAGCTAAACCACTCTGTAACCAGCCCCCAGGACAGTTTAATTACAATAATCAACATCCATATTTATACCATATTAATAAGGTAGGTATCTGTTCAATCTTCAGTGAGTAAACTATTCATGAAAGAAAAAAACTGGAGAAAATCATAAGTCCTTGGGGGTCAGTTCAGGTTCACCAGGAAGCAGACACCAAGACTGAGAAGAGCAAGACACGAAAACAAACAAAAAAGAGCTAGCCACAGTGGGTTAATTCCCATAGGGGTTAAAAGGAGAAGGAAGAAAAGCAGGTCAGACCACAGGAAGGGGACCAGGCAGGAAAAGCCTCTGAAGCACAGCTCTGAGGCAGGCCCCCGGGGGGCTCCAGGCAATCACTGACTGACTAGTGGAGATGCCCCATGATGCAGCCTGGCTCGACTCTAGCACTTGGTGGAGGGAGCCATCAGCAGGTGAGGAGACACAGGCCTGGGGTGCCCAGCACTATATGTTCACAGGTAAATAGACAATGGACAGATGGATAAAGGAAATGTGGCTTGTATGCACAATGGAGTTTTAATGCCATAAATAATGAAATTTTGTCATTTGCAGGAAAATAGGTGGAAATGGAGATCATCAGGTTAAGTGAAATAAGCCAAACTCAAGACAGACATGGGTTGGATGCTCTCTCTCATATGAGAAATCTAGAGAGTAAAAGAAGGGGGAAAGAAAAATAAAAACCCAGATCTTGTGAAAACAGAAGGGAGAACAGTAGAGGATGGGCTGGGGAGGGAGGAGGGAAGGAAATCCCGTCATGTGCACATATGAATGTATCCCACTGAAGCCACCATCACGGATGATCATAAGGTGCTACTAAATTTCATTTTAATGTCACAGTCTGTCCGCTTACTGTGGTCCCCACAGCAGATTCTCCACTGAGTTGCCAGGGGCCCTAACCAGTCACCCACCTGGCCTCCACACACTCCACACACTGGTCCACTTTAGGAACGCAATTCCCCAGGTTCCCGTGGGGTTCACCTCCTGAAGGGAAACTAGGAGAGAGAAGTCGGTGAGCAGACCGTAGTCCCTGTCACCGCCACGGCTGTTGAAGCCGCAGCCTTCATCTCCTTCCTCTACTGGTCACTCTGACCCTCCACATCCAATGGTGTCACTTCTGCAGATGCCAACAGGCAGTCTGGGACACAGCTCAAGTCTTCATTCCCAAGCTTCAGGACCTGGGATCACAGCAGACTGGGGTGCTGCCAACGTGCCTTCAGAGTGACACCAACCAGGAGAAGGAGACCAGAGGGCTGGGGGTAGGGGGTCCTGGCTGCCATACCCCTCCCTGCCTCCCTGGGACAGAGTGGCCTCAGCACCTCCCAGCCAGGGAGTGATGGTTCTTTGAGCCTGCTGGTCCCTAGAGTCTCAAGTACCTAGGTGGCCTTCATAGAACATAGTGCACTGGTACCCCTGCTGTGTCCTGTCACAAGAGTCCAGAGTGGGACTGACTTGCTTCCAGCCCTTTGTTCAGGACCTGTCCTTCCTCCCATCAATGGCATGGCCTCGCAGCAAGGTTCCTATAGAAGGTAGCACTGCTCCCTGAAGCTGGGACCTCACCTGCACAGCACACCTGCGACAGCTCTGCCTCGGCCACCTCTACTGTCCACGCTGCCCACGCCTTGTCCATGGTGACTGGGGGGTGGCCTTCACACCTTGTGCTCCCTCCCACCCACCCACACCCCGCTGCTTCACGCCTGTTGGTTTCCAGGTCAATGTGTATCTCTTCAACCTCTTTTCTTTTATCATATTTTTCTTTTCTTTTTTTGAGACGAGGTCTCCCTATATTGCCCAGGCTGACCTCAAATTCCTAGTTCAAATAACCTTTCACATTAGCCTCCCAAGTAGCTGGGACTACAGGTCCCACCACGGCGCCCAGCTATTTTCTCATCTTCCGGAGGCCCCTCTCCTTCCTTTCTCCTCCCCTCCTTGCTGATCACTGTCCACTTTTGACTTGCACCCATGTACTGCGTCAGCCAATCACGGCCATGCTTTTGCTTTCTCCCTCTCCTCCTGGTTGGGGTCCTGCGGAGAGCGAAGGGAGCCTTTGCATCCATGTGGATGAGGTGAGAGTGCCTCCTTGTCCTGCTCTGGCTAATCCCAGATGTACCGCTTCCACCTGCCAAGGACTGTTCTTGAACTTGGCCAGTTTAAAATGATGGAGCCAAAGCACCCAGCTCATACTAGGCAATTCTGAATGCACATCCTTGGGTGACTCCTGGAACCTGGTAGAGCACCCCGAGCTGTCTTTAAATGT